AGGCCTGTACTCACGTGATGCAGGGGTGCGGGGAGGCGGGCCAGCACTCACACAGTGCATGGCTGCGTGCAGGAAGGCAGGCCTGTACTCACGTGGTGCAGGGAGGCGGGCCAGCACTCACAAGGTGCAGAGGTGTAGGGAAGCAGGCCAGCGCTCATGTGGTGCAGGGGTGCGGGGAGGCGGGCCAGCACTCACACAGTGCATGGCTGCGTGCAGGAAGGCAGGCCTGTACTCACGTAGTGCAGGGAGGTGGGCCAGCACTCACAAGGTGCAGAGGTGTAGGGAAGTGGGCCAGCGCCCACATGGTGCAGAGGTGCAGGGAAGCGGGCCAGCACTCACGCGGTGCAGGGAGGTAGATGAACACTCACCCGGTGCATGTCTTCATACTTGAGGAACAGAACATTGGCATCCATGCGGTGCTCCCAGAACTCCTGCACGTGCTCGAACCAGGAGCCGTAGCCCACTGTGGAGACAGGGCAAGTGAGCACAGGCCGGGCCGGGCCCTGTGGCCCCAGGTGCCGTCCGCCTGCCCAGCAGGCAAGGGAAACAGTGGGACGCGGGCCTGGGAAGAGCCAAGTCACCCCCTCTGGGTATCCCAGAGGCCTGACCAAGCAGTGGGAGCTCTGAGCCTGGGCAGCAGCACTGGGAGGGACCTCAGCCCGGCACTTCACCAGTCACGAAGTATTCAATGGGAAGAGACCAATGATGCCCACAAAAACCCAGAGTAGCCTGTGGGGTGGGATGGACAGCAGAAGGCTCTAGGAAAGTTCCAGAACACAGGGAATTTGTAGGACAAGCTAGAACCCTGGACTGCAGGGAGCTGCCCCGTCAGATGCATGGCAGGGTGAAGCCAGGCCGGGCTGGGTGTTCTCCATGTGCCCGCTGTCTCCCCGGCTGAGCTGCCCAGCCCTGACAGCGCGGCCTTCCCATGCCTCCAACCTCCCCCCCCGCCCCCGGCTTGGTGGGTCTCAGCAGGATGCTGTGGGGGTGAAACCCTGGCCCACTGAGCAGCAAAGGGGCACAGATGGACGAAGGCACCAGCGGGGCGTGAGGCCGGCCTGCTGCAGGCCACCTGCAAGCTTCTGGGTGCCCAGCAGGCCCCAGACACCAGACACGGCAGAAAACCCCGAGCAGAGCTGCTCCTGCAGAGGACATGGGGTGCTGGGAGAGGAGCAGCCCTGCCCAGCGCTCCACACTGCTCGCCTGCAACACGCAGTGATTAGAAAAGCATGGGACACTCTGCCCTCTTGCCCTGCCCTGCCCTGCCCTGCCCTGCCCGGCAGCCTGCCTTTGTCTCACATCCAGCCAAAGGCCAGTGACAATCACACCCTGCCACAGCTTCACCCCGGCTGTTAACAGCAGTGACATACAGACGCTGTAAGTTCTATCCCATCTCCCCTGTACCGAAGCTGGCTGGAGGGAGGGTGGGTGCAGGGTGGTGCAGACAGCCCGTGCTGCCGCCCCCCTGCTCTGAGATCCGACACGCCTCTCTGATCCCCCAGACGGCGCCCAGCACAAGAGAGCACGAACACTCACGCTTGTCGTTCATGAACCTCCGGCAGAACTCCTGGAAGGTGCCTCGGTAGCTCATGGTGCGCAGGGAGCGGTGGAACTGATAGTAGGACACCACCAGGTCCTTGGGGTTCCGAGCCATGTAGATGACCTGTGGGCAGAGCGCTGCTGGCTCCAGCCTCGGGCGCAGGAGGCCGCCGCCCCTGCCCTGCCTTCCTCCACTGCCGGTCAGCCGCCCCTGCCCCGCCCAGGACCAGCCATGGGCGTCTCACCATGGCCCATCCCCCAGAACTACAACCCACCGCCGGGGAACCGAGAGGCAAGGGTGACACTGGGGAGAACCTGCGCATCAACCTCAACTGGAAGAAGACGAATGCAGGTATGTGCTGCCCCGGGGGGCAGCGTTCCCGGTGTGACCCGGGCCGGCCCTCCCTACGAGTCAGCACCCCAAAGTGCTCAGGGAGGCATCCAAGCTGGTGGGCAGCACAGCCCAGGCCTCAGACTCCTCTTGCTGAGGGCCTGGGGCGTCGGGTCCCGGCAGGTTACCTTGGAGTCCCCGTTGTGCAGGTCGGAAGGCAGGAAGCGGTAGGGGAGGTGGCTCTTGATGAGGCGGGGGGATGTCAGCTCCTGTGGGCAGAGGGGAGCCCTTAGAATTGGCATGGAGGGCTGGGAAGGGGCTCAGTGGTAGAGCGCTTGCCTTGCATGCCTGAGGCCCTGGGTTCGATTCCTCAGCACCACATAAGCAGGAAAAAAAAAGCAGGAAGTGGCGCTGTAGCTCAAGTGGTAGAACACTAGCCTTGAGCTGAAGAGCTGAGGGAAGCGCCCAGGCCCAGAGTTCAGGCCCCACGACCGGACCCCCAAAAAAAGAACTGTCTAACCATCTGTGACGTTCAGTTCCCTGCTGCACACCGACTGCCGTAGGGAGCAATGTGGCTGGGCGCAGGGTGCAGCGGGACCCCGCTGGAGCCTGGGATGGGAGGACACTTTCAGGAATGCCCCGGGGGAGAGCCTGAGCCCCCGCTGGGCCTCCAGCCTCTTTCTGCACTGGTTTTTCTCCAGGTCGAGCTGGCTCTGCACCAAGGCTAGTATGGACCGAGGTCCTCCTTGTGTGTCCCTGTGTCTATGGGGTGATGGGTAATCACAGCACTCAGTCACAGGTGGAGACGAAGCCTCTGGAACTTTTTGCCTGGGCTGGCCTTGAACTGGGATTCACACACACACACACACACACACACACACACACACACACACACAACCTCACCCCTGACTCCTGAGTAGCTAGGATTAGTCTTGAGCCACCACAGATCTATTCCATTCTTGATATCAAATACTTAAAGTATGTCCTCCTCTGCTCCCAAGGGATGGAGATGAGGGGAGCCAGGTGCTCAGCCTGTGCACCCCAAACGCCTGCCTTCTTCTCATCCCGCTAACTCTCCAGCCCTGACAGCCACCAACCCCGGCCAGACCCAGGCAGCTGCATGGGTCTGTCCTGCCAGCTTTCCCCTCCTGGCTATGGTGGGGGGGGGG